CACACCACACACCACACATCACAACATCACACCTCACGACCACCACCCACACCACACACCTCATCCACCACACACCTCACGACCACACACCTCACAACACACACCTCACGACCCACACACCACCACACACATCACACCATCACACCTCACCACCACACACCTCACAACATCACACCTCACGACCACACACCTCACAACATCACACCTCACGACCACACACCTCACAACATCACACCTCACGACCACACACCTCACAACATCACACCTCACACCTCACACCTCACAACACACACCTCACACCACACACCTCCCACCACCACACCTCACACCACACAACACACACCACACACCACACAACACACACCTCACACCTCACACCACCACACCTCACACACACACCTCACCACCACACCACACACCACCCAACACACACCTCACACCACCCACCACACACCACACACCACACACCACCACACCACACACCTCACACCACCCACCACCACACACCACACACCACCCAACACACACCACACACCACACACCACCACACCACACACCACACACCACCCAACACACACCACTCACCACACACCAAATGTCTATGGACTATGTGACCCAAAAATGTCAGGAGGCTGTAAGCAGGTTTGTCCCAGCCCAACAGGAAAAAACAGAGAAGCAAAGGAAGAATCCGTGGTTTAATAGGGAATGTATGAAAGCAAAGGAGCTGAACAAAAGGGCATGGAGGAACTTCCGTAATAACAGAACACCAGAAAGCAGAGAGAGATACCAGAGAACCAGGAACGAGTATGTTAGTGTGAGAAGAGCAGCTGAGAAAGGTATGAAAATGATATAGCTAATAAAGCCAAGACCGAACCAAAGCTACTACACAGTCACATCAGGAGGAAGACCACAGTGAAGGAACAGGTGATGAAACTTAGTGTAGAGGAGGACAGGTACACTGAGAATGACAAAGAGGTGTGTGAAGAACTCAACAAAAGGTTTCAGGAGGTCTTTACAATAGAACAGGGAGAAGTCACGGCGCTAGGAGAGGTGGCAGCAAACCAGGTGACCTTGGAAAAGTTCGAAATTACAAGAGATGAGGTCAAGAAGCACCTATTGGAGCTGGATGTGAGAAAAGCTGTTGGGCCGGACGGAATCTCACCATGGGTATTGAAAGAGTATTGAGTGGCAAGCAAAGTGCAGGAGCACTTTGCTTGCCTATCAGAAATATGGAAGACTGCTAATGTAGTCCCAATATACAAAAAGGGTGACAGACAAGAGGCACTGAACTACAGGCCAGTGTCCTTAACTTGTATACCATGCAAGGTGATGGAGAAGATTGTGAGAAAAAACCTAGTAACACATCTAGAGAGAAGAGACTTCGTGACAACCCATCAACATGGGTTCAGGGAGGGTAAATCCTGCCTTACAGGCTTGATAGAATTCTACGATTTGGTGACAAAGATCAAGCAAGAAAGAGAAGGATGGGCGGACTGCATTTTTTTGGACTGTCGGAAAGCCTTTGATACAGTCCCCCATAAAAGGTTGATGCATAAGCTGGAGAAACAGGCAGGAGTAACTGGTAGGGCGCTCCAGTGGATAAGGGAGTACCTAAGCAATAGGAAGCAGAGAGTTACAGTGAGGGGTGAGACCTCAGAATGGCGTGAAGTCACCAGTGGAGTCCCACAGGGCTCTGTGCTTGGACCTATCCTATTTCTGATATACGTAAATGATTTCCCAGAGGGTATAGACTCATTCCTCTCAATGTTTGCTGACGACGCCAAAATTATGAGATGGATTAAGACAGAGGAGGACAGCTTGAGGCTTCAAGAAGACCTGGACAAGCTGCAGGAATGGTCGAACAAATGGCTGTTAGAGTTTAACCCAAGCAAATGTAATGTAATGAAGATAGGGGTAGGAAGCGGGAGACCAGATACAAGGTATCATTTGGGAGATGAAATACTTCAAGAGTCAGAGAGAGAGAAAGGCCTGGGGGTTGATATCACGCCAGACCTGTCCCCTGAAGCTCATATCAAGAGGATAACATCAGCAGCATATGCCAGGTTGGCTAACATAAGAACGGCCTTTAGAAACTTGTGTAAGGAATCATTCAGAACATTATATACCACATATGTCAGACCAATCCTGGAGTATGCGGCACCAGCATGGAGTCCATATCTACTCAAGCATAAGACTAAACTGGAAAAGGTTCAAAGGCTTGCCACCAGACTAGTACCCGAGCTGAGAGGTATGAGCTACGAGAAGAGACTACGGGAATTAAACCTCACTTCGTTGGAAGACAGAAGAGTTAGGGGGGACATGATCACCACATTCAAGATTCTCAAGCGAATCGATAGGGTTGATAAAGACAGGCTATTTAACACAAGGGGCACACGCACAAGGAGACACAGGTGGAAACTGAGTGCCCAAATGAGCCACAGAGATATTAGAAAGAACTTTTTTAGTGTCAGAGTGGTTGACAAATGGAATGCATTAGGAAGTGATGTGGTGGAGGCTGACTCCATGCACAGTTTCAAGTGTAGATATGATAGAGCCCAGTAGGCTCAGGAACCTGTACACCTGTTGATTGACAGATGAGAGGCGGGACCAAAGAGCCAGAGCTCAACCCCTGCAAGCACAACTAGGTGAGTACAGCTAGGTGAGTACCACCCTTAGTACACATTACCACCACCACCACCACCACCACCACAGTACACACTACCACCACCACCACCACAGTACACATCACCACCACCACCACAGTACACACCACCACCACCACCACCACCACCACCACCACCACCACCACAGTACACACTACCACCACCACCACCACCACCACCACCACAGTACACACCACCACCACCACCACCACCACAGTACAGCCACCACCACCACCACCACCACCACAGTACAGCCACTACCACCACCACCACCACCACAGTACACACCACCACCATCACCACCACCACAGTACACACTACCACCACCACCACCACCACCACCACCACCACCACCATAATACACACTACCACCACCACAGCAC